TTTCTAAGCCATCATGCGAAAAATCTCCACATTACTAGTGGATGATGGAGGCAGCCGTGTTCCGGAAGTTCACCGAGTTGCATGTTCTACGTTTGAGTCGGTGAGCCGCCGTGAGTGCTGGGTTCATCCAGTTTGCTATATAAGCAATTAATTTTATAATGTATATGTACTTCGTCAGCCTGTAGTGTGACTGTATCGTACAATAATCCTAACATTAACATAGTTATAAGGTGTGTTATGTTATTATAAGGTGTGTTATTTTGACTGGCTCCGTGGCCGAACGGTTACCATGCTGGACTGCCATGCAGAGGTCCTGGGTTCGATTCCCAGGCCGGGAGAAATATGTGTATGGCCTACATTTACTTCTCCCGTGAGTTTGGGTGTAATTTGTGGTTGTCTATGTGTGTGTCCATGGCACCCGCGACACAGGGTTTCCCTAGTGCGGGGCTATGTTGAGTGTGTGCGTTATTATTATTATTATTATTACTAACTTACTAATTTGTATGACTATGCTGTGTGAAAATATTTTTTTTGTTAATCTTCCGGAGAGATCTCGTACAGTTTCGTACAGTATCGTATCTAATTTGTACGTAACAGAGTTCATTGTGCTATGTACAATTTCGTTACAAAACATTCGCATCTATCCCATTCCGTAGCAACGTAAAATTAGCCTTACGAGCGTAATAATCGTAGGTGCAGTACATTACGTTCAAAAATATATAAACTAGACAGAAAATGAAAGCAATAATATTTCTGTCAGATAGTTTTCCGTAGAGCATTCCGTAACAGTGTTTGCTATACTAACTCTAACCTGGGAAACTCTAATATTTTATTCTATAACAGATGGAGGTCGGAGAAAAATATTGTCGGGGCAGGGGTTTCCATTACGTCTGGTATGCTTTATGAAAATAAAAAAGACGTTGCTTAAGGACGTAATGGATTTGTCCAATATTCTAAGATCCGTCACGTCATCAACCTAATTTGGACGTCCCACTGAAGTCAGCTGGGGACACCACGCTTTCCGAGGTTTGTGAACCTTCTTTGACGCGCAGGTTTCAAATGAAATTATTTTATTCGTCATCATGGGTACAATAAAAATGTTAACATTTATTTTATAATCGCCATGACGTACCATCAAGGCATACGAATTATACTACCATTATTAAGTTAGTGCAGCTCGTATGTGGAATAAAATACCTGCTAGCATTGGTGACAGTCCATCGGGTGCATCATTCAATTAAAAGAAATTAATAGAGCACTTTCTGTTAAACTCGGAAGTTAATCAGTAACATATATATAAACTAATAATTTGTTTTGATTAAATATATATATTGTGTACGTGTGTATTTATGTAGGTATGTAAAGTTTATGTAGGTTTATTATCTCAGCCATATTTATATTGTCGCCATTGATAATTATATTCACATTTGTTTTTAACAAATGTATTGTACAATAATGTCCCGCAGGCTTAATTTATTCACCACAGCTAGGGTTGGCTGGAAGAGATCCCTTCTAGAGATAAGCTCACCTTCGTATATGTCCTCTGTAACTTGTAATTTTCAATGCCATTTATTTGTGCAATAAAGAATTATCAAATTAATTATACTTGTCCAATACTTCGAAATAATAATTATAATAATCATTAACTAGTAATAAATCACTGATAATAGGCTTCCACCTTCACGGGACAGTGAAAAACCAAGTCTTAAAATCTATAACAGTTAGAACATCAAAACAAAAGTAATATAATTAAGATAAATAATCAATGTAAATAAATCAATGTCAAACAGTAACGTTCGTCTCAATAATAAATAATAGATAAATTTATGTATATAAATTTATATAGTTATATTTCAATTAAATACTCAAATAAAAGCGTTAACTGTAATGACAATTTATTCTAGATTTTTGATGCAATTGCGATTATACTCTTCTCAGATAGTGACGTTGTACGATTTGTTTGGCGTAGTTGTTTAGGACGTCGTGCTGTTGTAACTACAGAAAAAAATTAAGCGTGTCGTCGTATACATAAGGCTGTTTCATACACATACAAAGAAGGCAAGGTCAAAATTTTTAGGTCTCGAAAATAGTTTCTGCAACTGTCGGTCTGTTTCAGTCCACAGATTGCCCTTATTTACCTTTTTTGAGCCCAAAAAACTTTTTTTTAATTCTAATGTAGGTGTGCATTTGACTTCCGTCTCACCTGATGGAAAGTGACGATGAGGTCGACGATGGAGCATGCACACATAGATAATGCCTATTCACTCTCGCCTTGAAAAGGTCCAAGTTATAACGTTCAGGGAACAAGTCTGCAGGCAGGGTATTCCACTCCGTAGCCGTTCGCCATATAAATGTGGAAGCGTAACGCTTCGTGCGAATCTTTGGAATATCCACAACTTAGCGATGGAACCTAAGCCTGCGCCTAGTCCGGTGATGGAAAGGGGAAGGCGGAATTAAATCGTGTAATTCCAACGCACACTCTCCGTGATATATCCTGTAAAATACCGATAAGCAGGCAACTTTACGGCGGTGTTCAAGGCTCTGCAGCTTCGCCTTTACTAATTCCGAGTCACCTATAAGGCTCTTGCCACGCTTGTCAATTGAATCCAAGGTGGTCAGTTGATATGTAGCAGAGCCATCCCAAAGGTGGCAACAGTACTCCATACACGACCGGACTTGTGCTTGATACAGCCGAAGCAACTGTCCCGGTGTGAAGTAACGCCTCACCCTGGAAAGGATGCCAAGCTTCCTGGCTGCATCTTTGGCCATGGATTCAATGTATCTGCCGAAGTTCAGATTGGACGACAGATCCATTCCAAGTAGCTGGAGACGGTCGGCTATTGGTATGGATATATCACGAAAAGTCGGAGTCATCTCAAAGGGACTCCGTTTAGTGGAGAATAGACACGCCTGCGTTTTGGTAGCGTTAAATTTGACAAGATTGGCATCGTCCCAATCGGAGACTGCCTTGAGCGTTAAATCTAAACGGCTAACCATGGACTCGATCGACAAGACTGGATTTCCTCTCCACTGACCTTTGCATTGGTCAAGTACCTATCTACAACTGTGCTGTCATCAGCATACGCAAAGGTACCTGGAATTAACATATCATTGATATGCAGCAGAAAGATAGTTGCAGACAGTACGGAACCCTGAGGAACTTCTATCGCCATATGTTCGGAAGAGCAGCCTTCTAAGACCACTCGAAAGGAACACGTTCACTCAAGAAATCCGAGATCCAATTGCAAAGGTCAGTGGGAAGCCCGTAACGCGGAAGCTTGCTTAAAAGGCTTGCGTGCCAGACCCTGTCAAAGCAAAAACTTGTATTATGTTGCTACTATTACCCTAAAAATAAGATACCTAATCGGTGTGTTTCAGCTACATAGCTGAGGTAAACTACAAGTAAAGCGTTTTTGTTTACCACCTTAGACAATTTCAAGAGAGTGTATGATTGTCGCATCACGATGTTTTCTTTTACCGAAAAGCTCATGGCATATTTCAAATAAAATTTCGCACATAGATTCCGAGAAACTCTAAAGTACTGCTTGGGGTCTGTCACGGAGCAGCGTAATTACGTATTATTTCTGAAAGTCCAAGCATCAGAGCTATTTGGGTTCTAACAGAACCTATTTTATTCTGTATTATTTTACATTACAATTTGCACGCTCATCAGTTCGCTGCTGCAATGAAAAGTTTACCTTAATGATTCAGACATAAGGATGATCAATTACAGTTATGCAGTGTCATATGATGACCTCGGTGGCAACGGTTTTTATACAGCTGGATGAAGAGGTTCCGTTTTCGATTCCCGGTAGGACCAAATTGGGAAATGAACTTTTCATTCACCAATAAATTAAAAGTAATAAAAAATATAAGCATTTTTATTTATAATATCTACCGATCTATCGACCCCTACAATCAGCACTCGCAGTTAAGAGGGAGCATGCCAAAATAAGGTTTTGACGTTGGCTCCGCCCAAATTTGTGAAACAAATATATGCCTGAAGTTCGCGTGACATGCGACAGATGTTGAATTTTGCGCATTAAAAGTACCAAATTCGTTTTAGCGGAATAACTCTAAAACTAAAGGGATTAAAAAAAATCAGCAGTGACAGTAGTCGATCATGCATAAATATAATTAATTATCTAATTTTTGTCCTAATAACCTGTAGCATTTCGAGGATAAATAGAAAAAATGTGAAAATTAGAGGTCATTTCGTGATTTTTATCTATCGAGGAAACTTTATTGTTTTATGTTTCTGATTAATGTCTATGCTTGAATATATTGTGTAGCTACTCATACAATATTTTATTTTTAACTTTAAAGTGGATATACCCCTCTAAAATCAAATCCAAGATTTGGAATTTTTCCTCTGCTCCCTCTTAAGCGTTCGATATAGAGAGAAACTATTCGTAGTTAATGCTCTAAAGAACAGTGTTATACGGTGTACTAAAGGAGTGACCACATCTATTAAGAGTCTATACTACCTCAAATGGCTTTGGTTGATTCCACATAATAGTGAAAGTGTTGAATTGATCATTTTGCAAAAAAATATATATAGTAAAATTGAATTGTACGGTGTGAAAACAAAATTCCAAAAAAATTTCACGATAGAAAAAAAAACACAAACTTATATCGAAATTTTACAAGAAAACCGCTAAATCTAATATTCAATACTCCAATGGTTTTAATTTCATTTGTAAAAAAAATAATTCTCCAGTATTCCTGCCGCTCGACCCAAGTAAAATGAATCGTATTCGGGAAAATTTTGAATACGAGCTGAGGTAGTATCAACTCTTAATTTTCTAAAGAACAGTGTCAAGCCAATCAGAAAAAACATTGTCTTCTCGACCGAAGACGCGAACCATATGTCTTTTTCGCTCTTATTACATGTACATAAAGTTGTTCGTAACCGTTTTAATGCGATTATGTTAATGATAAACACAATGGAATATACATAATAAGTGACCTATATAATAAAAAAAATTCTTTTGACTTACCGGAGTCCTTCTGCGAAGTAAAGTACCAACAGGACTTGGTATTTTCGTCGGTGTGCTTGCATGCGGGCTGCGTGCTGAAAATAAAAAACAATGTTATTGCATTTTGTCAATTTTCGCGTACTAAAAACTTAGCTGTACAGTCTTAATCTATTGCTCAATAATGACAATAGCAAAGATTTCTTTTTTTAAACAAAGGCTTTGATTTCAACATTCACAGCCTATAAACATAAATTTTATTGGTAAAATGAAACTATATTTAGTTTTTTATGTTTGTCCGCTCATCAAATTTCGTATTAATTAATAACTACATTGAAGGAGCTGATTGCTGTACATTGTTGTCAATTGTGACGTGCAGTAAAATTTATGAAATGTATAATTTTACGACACAACTCGGCATTTGTTTTTCCAAATTTAAAAAAATGAAATCTACTACGATTGTCACTTATGGGATCGCTGGCCCGGACAACTTCTACCACCGACAAACTCGCGTTAAAGGTCAAATCTCAATGCAAAACAAAGCAGTTTCGAATTGACGATATATTAAGTAAACATTTCTATTTTCGTTTTATTAAAACTTTTTAATTGGCTACCCCTCGCAATAATAGTGAAAAATCTAAAAACTTATACATCCGACTCGCATTTGATTATATTTTTTTCGATAATGAATTAAGATTTGACCTCACTATTGTAATCTGTCAAAACGGCCATCATAGCGTGCAGGTGCTGTAATTGTTTAAAGAGCAATCATATCAGTAGTAAACGAATAAAAACGTGAAATATACAAATTGTTTTAATGTAAAAATAATTCATAAGTTGTTCTCACACAATGACGCCTCCCGATGCAATACGACTTAAAAATCCCATTGACTTGTGCCAAGTCTTTTATTGCATCACACATGACTGTCCCATTGATGGGTTTTATATTTAGTATATCACCGTAACAACCATTACCACCATTACCGTGTGGCAATCGCTAAAAAGCTAAAAAGACGTTTCATAAAAACTTTCCGAATAATTAAAGGGCGAATCGGAAAAACTTCTTTTGATCGCAAAATTTATTCAAAGATATTCTTCAACTTCTTTGAAACTCGCGTAATGAAACATGTAATATTATTTTCTGCGAAGAAGCTTTTTGGAAGCATCGACACTTTTGCTGTCGCTTCTCTTGCACATTTTCTTTTTTACTTTTATGCAATAATATTAATGACATTTCGTCGCCTACTTTCTCAAACTCGTATCTTAAAGCACAAAGTAACTGAACTGCAAAACTTGCATTGTGTATACAAATTTTGTAGCCTGATTTCACATCACATTTCGTTAATTAAAAAATAAAGTAATGCAGTAGTGGCGTTCTGTGGTCTCTGCCTGCCTTTCCTGTGGGACAAGGGCGTGTGCTTATATACGTTGCTGCGCGTGCAATACCGCTGAAGAGCACTTTGTAGATACCGCGTAACAGCGTTTTCACGATTTTACAGGAGGAACAAAAAACTTAATATCTTATAGGTACGTCTTAAACCAATAATTGCAATGCAAAAGACACTCTTAATACATTGTGTTAAGAGGTTCTTCTCAATTTAAGCATTGGTTTAAGACATACTTAAGTTTAGTGCAAGTGGACATTAATATCTTAGCTATGGAACTATATTTTACCGACTGAACTCTGTAGCTACTTCTTTGGGATTCACTTTGCAGAAAAATAACGTAAGTTTACCAACAACTTGTTTAGATTCCGGATAAAGTCACTAACGCAGTTTTGTAGTAACAAATTACAGAAAAAGTAGTATACTGTTAGTATGTGGGCGGGATTGAAATGAAACATTTTATTAAAGGTTTGATTTTATTATGACTAAAGAGCAAAAGTGACAGAGAGTAGTAAGGAGGCTTTTGCTCTTCTCTGGGACAGTACAGGGTCGTAATAATAATAAATTAACAAAAAAGTTCTAAAACAAACATCTTCTAAGACCAAAAAAGTATTATCAGATAAACAATAAATTGTTACTGTTCGTAGTCAAATTATATAGAAATCTTTTTATAAGTAAGTCAAAGGTTCAAAGGTAAGTCTCGAGATTAAAATGTTATTAAATTGTGTAGTTTGAAAATATGTGCAATTAAGAATAACAACGCAAAATAGGCGCCTTGACGTCGAGTTGCGGACACCAGCCCGTTGCACCAAGTACCAAGTTAAGAATAACAAAAAAAAAACAGTCTCATAACTTCTCTGAAAATCACTGCAGCTTAATCTTGTTAAACGTCTTGCACAAATATAATTAAAATTTATAAATTAAAATTAAAAAGGTAGTGTCTTGCTCTGTAGCCACGCCACCTTATTTTTTTTATTATGATATTACCCACTTTATTCTTAGAGGATGGAAAAAATCCTTCTAATACACAGCTGACGTACATGACTTTGCGTCATACCCCTGACAGGCGTGCTTTATTCCAGGGGACTCGTCGAGCTGTGCTGATGTTGTTGTCGAGGTTTTGCGTTTGCTTATGGAGTGTTACACCATACGCTGATGTACTTAATGGACCCCAAGCTCGTCCATGGTTTTACGCTGATTGTAGTTGTGCTGAAACACGTAAACAGTGCGCGTACCACGCTTGGGCAAATGCTCGACTACGCAAAGCTCCGAGTACTCAAAATTTGAAGAAAGCTTTTAATAAGGCCGCCAAGAAGTGCAAAAGTGTGTTACGTAGGGCTAGGTTCGACCATGTGCGCCGCATAGGGGCCAAGCTTGCCTCTTACCCAGCAGGCAGCAAATCCTTTTGGTCCCTGGCCAAAGCGGTCGAATCTAACTTTTGTCGCTCATCTTTGCCACGTCTGCTGAGGCCGGATGGCTCGCTGGCTCATACTGCGGAAGAGAAGGCGAATCTTTTTGCCTCACTCTTTGCAGAGAGTTCGCGTTTGGATGCCGCAGGGAACCTACCACCTACTTTACCTCAGTCTGGCTGCACTATGTCGCCAGTTCGCATACGTCAAAAAGACGTACTTAGAACTCTGCGAAATCTAGACATAAATAAAGCTAGCGGGCCAGATGGAATCCCAGCAATAGTCCTGCGTAACTGTGCGCCTGAGTTGTGTTCTCACACGCCTGTACCGCCTCTCACTTGAGACTGGTGTAGTTTCCAGGTCGTGGAAGCTTGTAAACATGCAACCTGTGCCGAAAAAGGGAAGCAGAGCTGACCCTGTCAACTATACACCTATCTCAGTCACTTCCATACTCTGCAAGACTATGGAACGTGTACTCAACAATTGTCTCCTGTCGTACCTTGAAGACAACGACCTCCTTAGTGATCGCCAGTACGGATTCCCACGAAGGCGATCTACTGGGGATTTTCTTGTGTATGCCTGTCACATACGGAGCGAGGCTATAGAAAAGCAAGGCGAGGCACTTGCAGTGTCTTTAGACATTTCTAAAGCCTTTGACAGGGTCTGGCACGCAAGCCTTTTAAGTAAGCTTCTCTCTTATGGGCTTCCCACTGACCTTTGTAATTGCACCTCGGATTTCTTGAGTGAACGTTGGATTCGAGTGGTCTTAGAAGGCAACTCTTCGGAACATACGGCGATAGATAGAGTTCCTCAGAGTACCGTACTGTCTGCAACTCTCTTTCTGCTGCATATCAATGATATGTTAACTCCTTTGCGTATGCTGATGACAACACCGTTGTGTATAGATAGGTACTTGACCAATGTAAGGGTCAGCGGAGAGGAAATCCAGTCTTGTCGAGAGTCCATCGTTAGCAGTTTTTTTTTGACACTCCAGGCAGTCTCCGATTGGGGCGATGCCAATCTTGTCAAATTTAACGCTACCAAAACACAGGCGTGACTATTCTCAACAAAACGTAATTCCTTTGAGCTGACTCCGACTTTTCGTGAGGTATTCATACCCGATACCCGACTGTCTCCATTTATTTTCCTTTTTATCATTAACTTTCAAATAATAAGTTTTAACATTACTTCGTCTTGATGAATTTGATCTCTTAGTTCTCCTAGTCGTAGGTTTCGTGCAAAGATCGTGTTATAACTTCTTCATTAATTTGGTGAATACGCGGGCTTGCGGCCAATTGCAGCAATGCTACTGTTTCGCGGTATTGTTTCGATAGCAAAAATTAGGTTTCTTAGAGGCTAATGCAAATTCTGTGAGATCTAGCTTGGGTGAGTTAGCGTTGAGGATCTGTTGGCGCGATATTTCAATTTTGTACCTTTTGCTGTTACGCGGTATTTACCAACTGCTCTTCCGCGGTTTTGCGCGCGAAGTAACGGTATGTACAGTAATGCCTCCAAATTAACACCCTTGTTAAGAAATTTAAAATAAATAGAAACTTTCGCAATTTGAATTTTTCACAGTTTTGAAAATAATCACTCTTTACAAGACGCAAATTTGAGAAAGTAAGGTATCGATTTAGCATTTGAGTAGGTACAGCATTCATCGTCATACATACACATGCACACACAAATACACACATACACACTCAAACAAACACACGTAAAATTCAGATTCTTCATTTAAAGTTCCTTACTTACGCCTTATTACTGTTATTTATACTTTGAATTTAACTCAGTCAAACACAAAGAATCTTCAATTCACAAGCAAGCAAATTACAGTTCAAATCGTCATTGATCTAAACTCTACAGCTCATTCGTAAGTCAGATTCCCCTGAGAAGAATGAACAAGAAACTCTGTGGGTTGCTCTTTGTAGATAAACATTTGTATAAATTTATAATTTACAATATTTGTTTCAAACGTCATAGATCGACACTACCTGCAAGAGCTAAATGGGTCACTACTACGGATTTTTGTCATCCAAGGACGCAGAAGCCGTATAAATAACCTTTAGTGTAAAGTTTTTGCTTCACTATAATTTTAAATCTCGTTAATGGCAAATTTTGAATGTCAACAGGAATCTTATTATAGAAGTGTTATACATTGAGTCGATGTTAATTGGATGGTGTTAAGCAATAATGTGTCAACCAACATGATCACAGTTTTGCGAAAACGTCATCCAAAAGATTTTCCGTTGTTTTTGATAGTTTGTTCTAAAATGTATTTATAAAATGAAATTTTTGTTGTTC